ATTAAATATATTTTTTAATTTTATAAATTTAAATATAATTATTATTAAAATTTTAAATTATATTATTTTTAAATTTTATATTTATATCATATCGTATTTTAAATTATCAAATCAAATTGAATGTAAAAAAAAAAACATAAACAAAATCATTTTATCCCAATGTAATTTTTTTTTTTCAGATTCCATTATGGTTTTAGTACCTTTATTTAGAATTAAAATAAAGAAATTAGTCAGCATTTCCATTATGTCACTAACGATTACAGAAAATGGAGCAGTTCCTTTATCTTCTAATCAAAACAATAGCAATCTTCACCCTTTCTTCCTCTATTTTGGCATGACAGACCTGACCACCAGCAATCACCAGCCCCGGTGTCTTTGGCGGTGGCTCCCTTCACTAACAGTGATTACGATGCCCTCCATGAAGTGGGTTTCAGCTCTTACCCACTTGATGTTAGTGTTTTAATTTTGGTTTTATCTTAAATCAGTTACTTGGTGAGTTTAGATTACTTATAACAATTAATGTCAGAGTCAACTCATCCTAAGTCATTGATTCAATCCGAAATTAAGTTCGTGCGAGGGTTGTTTAATTTTTGTAAATTTTTATTTCGAATTTTTCACAAAAACCTTTCTAATTCTATACGATTTTGACTCAAAATATGCCGTGCTGTTGAAAGCCCAAAAATATGTTGTAATATTTTCTTCGGGTTCAAAGGACGTAAAATGTGGGTTCTGTGGTCCCGTGCACGTCAGGTATTTTGACCCGTTTTATTGCCAATGTCAACCAACAGGTGAAGAAAAAGCCAAAAATAAAAATAAAAAAGACTAAAAAATAAAAAAGTTTAGTAGGTAAAGAAAGTTCCTTGCTTTCTTATAGCTAATGAAATTAATTTTGTTCTTGACTTTTAAATTTTTATTTTTAAAAATGTAATGCAAAGAAGAATCCTCAAAGGTTTTGAAGATCACAAAATTAAAGAGACGATCAATCTTTATTGCAGTTAGTTTTTCGATGAACATGATAAATGGCGCAAATCAATCCCATAGAGCTTCAGTGTCAGATTTGCTTAATAATTTCAATCTCATTTACAATAAATATTTTATGAAATTATTTTTCTAAAGATATAGAAAATCAATAGTTAAAACTAAATAAATAATTCTAATATATTTCAATCGGTACAAAATAGGGGCGTAATCGAGTTGGGTCGAACCAACACAGTGAGAAGCTCGAGTTCGAGCTCAACTCATAACTCGCGGTTCGATACTCGGTTCGAACTCGATCGAATTTTATTTTTCAAGCTCGAGCTCGATTCGTGATCGAATTCGAACTACTCGAGCTCGTTCAATTAATATGTAAAAATAAACTCGATTCGTATACTCGATAAGAATTCGATTATTTATGGTCGAGCTCAAACTCGAATTCGAAATAGTTTATTAATTAAAATAACAAAAATATATTTAAATATAAAAATTCGATTAAGCTCGCGAGTTACTCGAACCGGATATAAGAATATTCGAATTTGGCTCGATCGATAAGTCGAGCTACTAGAGTTCGAGCTCGACTTGATAATAATCAAATCAAATTTGAGTTTTCTTCGAATCAAATTCGAGAAGCTTACGAGTACTAATGTATCATTTACACTCTTAGATATAGGAGGTGGGCAAGTTTGAGTTTGAATTTAAATATTTATGCCTTATTTATCCTTTTACTACTGGACAAAATCTCCATTAATAGAAATAAGATATAAAATTAAGAAGCATATCATTTATAAATTTTTGTTACAATCGTATTAATGTTTAATTACAATAAAAAAATTATAATTTATACGTTTAAATGTCACATAAAATTTGATATTTCACATAATTTTAAATTATAAGTAATTAATTGTATTATAATAATTACAAATGAAATATTTTATAAAATTATATGTATAATTATATAAATTTAATTCCGTACATGTAACTTATATTGTTAGAGATGATCAAAGTATAAATTTTAAATTAAAAAATAAGTACAGATCTACTTATATCAACTTAAGTTTTACATTTTTAATCATTAAATCAAAATTAAATTTATGATTAATTTGAATTAAAATAATATTTTTAATTTTAATTATTCTAATTCAATAATTAAAAAAATATAAAATTTACACTGATATTAATGGTCCTCTTCAAAATTTTGTGAAGTACAGCTTTATCTATAAAAAGATTTTATCATTATAACCAAAAAAAAAAAAATCAAATGATAGAATCATACTACTTTCTCTATAACAGAATTAAGGTTACATAACAAATGGTGATTGCAATTGATTTTTTTTTTACTGGACAATTAACAATAATAGGTCTTACTTGCTTTTACAATCAAAAACAAATTAATCACAATAGAAATTTTAATTGAGTATAATAATTTTTATCTTGTTAAAATTACATTTGCAATTAAATGAAACTTCCATCAATATCAAACATCAAAGAGGACAATTTTTTTTAAAAATTACAATTAAAAATAAAAAAATATCATTGTAAATATTGTAATCTGAATCATATATTTATTATATTTTGAAAATAATTATATAAATTAATTAAATTAATCTCAAATTAAAAATAACCTTCAAAGTTTAAAACTATATAAAAATAGTTGTTTTTTTTTTAATAATAAAAAGAAGAAAAAAGGTGAAGAAACATGACTTAAACTTTATTTTTGTCTAAAGATGAGCCACAGTCTTAAAATGTGTAGATGTTGAAACTTTAAAGTCAACGATACGTTCGGTCCATCCGCATTTAATCTTGCCGGATGGACAGTTGATCTTAAAATCGTGAAGCTCATTAAATTTTTTGGGAAAAGAGGGAACGGGACCACTAGTCAACATCAAATTCTTTAATGGGATTCCAAATCAGAATCGGACGGCTGGCAATCGACGGTGATGTTTGGAGTAATAATTGGGTAAATAGATCACGTCATCAGGCGGTTGAATTTTTGTTCCTTTTCTCTTGTCAAAAAATGTCCGTTTGTTGAAACGTGGAGAGCTGTGGTGACTGAGGAATAGTTGCTGTGCATCTCACTCAGACAGAAGCAAAATGTGCACACACCCACACAAAAAAAGGACAAAAGCAAAGTAAGCGCTCAACCCGACATGCTCATAACTTAAATTAAGGATGTCGAAGTAAATTCTTAGTACACGGTTTTTTTTTTTCTTTGGTCACAAGATGAAGTACACAAATTTAGTGTTTTCTAAACTATTAATAATTTTGTTATACTTTGAAAATATAAGAATTTGTTTTTTTTTTTTTGCCGTTATCAAAATTTGAGCATTAATTCTTAAAATTAAAAAATTAATATTTTATTAATAAATTATATAATTATTTACAAATTACTAATAAATTTGATGATAAAATATGCAATATTATACATAAGTTGTATATTTGACATTAAAATAAAATTGTTAAAACCAAATAAATAATAAACAAAAAAATATAAATTATAAGTATGAATTTTAAATTTTAAATTTATTAAATGTTATATTTTTAAAATGACTGTACAAATTTAAACTAACTCTCTAATTCTTATAATTTTTTTTAACAAATGAGGCTTAGAGCTTGTTGCAAGATTTCCTGAAGGGGCACATTAATTTGTACAATGCTATTCTCTATTATGGGTTTTTTTTTTTGACAAATACTATTTAGTATTTTCTTAAAACAAAAAAAATCAAATCATAACCTAATTAAAATCATTTTGGAAAGATATATAAAAGTTAATTCAATTGATAACTATAAGAGTTTCTTTTTTTTTTTCTTGTTAATCAGAGTTTGATAATTATAAAAAATATTTCAAAAATAAAATTTTGAAAGAATCGAAAGAATATAAAAAAATGTGTTCACTTTTAAATTCGTCTTATGAGATCGAAGATTAAATCTAAATAAAGCCTAAAGATGAATTACCAAAAAAAAAAAAGGCAAAAAAAAATCTTTGAAATGCATAGTGGTTATAGTTTTACAACTTGGGCATGAGTTTTGTAGCTTTATACAACAATTTTATAAAATTTTATTATGACTCATCAATTGCATATTTTTATATTTCCAGACTTCCACATAAGAATTAATTAATTAATTAATTAATTAATTATGTAATGATAAGTTCAATTTCAAAATGACGTGTAAATGTAATGAGAATTTTTTTCTTTTCAGTCATCCAGTCTAGAAGTACAAATAATAATAACATATTGAAAAGGTGAGAAGGGAAATTAATTTTAATTCGACAAAGTCAAGAATGGAGTATGAAATGGGATCAAAACTTCAAAGCCAAAATCATTTTTCAAAGAGACAAAACAGAAAATTTCAGTTCATTGCGTTTTGATGTTTCAGTCACACGCACAACATTTTGCCTAGGATTTAATTTTCCCCAAACGACACCACCTCTCTTATCAATTTTGTCACATTCATTGGATCAAGTTCGCATCAATATTATCCATTCGATCAAAACTAACTCTAATTGTACATAGAATTAAATAATTTAAAATAGGAGTTAAATCACGAATTATAATTAAGTTTGGTTTTAAACAATGCATGAATTTATCATGAATTGAACCGTGTCACGGATTCATTCATACAATTTTAATGTTAGATTTTTTTGCATCATATTTAATAAGATTCATTCTTTTAAAATTTTATATTTTGAAGATTCATTCCTTTAAAACTCTATATAAGTTGATGTTTGAAAAATATAATCTTTTAAATTAATAATTATACGATCTGTTGATAAAATATTAAATTTTTAATTTAATTTATGAAATTTAAGTCTTAATAACTTCGAATAAAAAATAATTTATTTGTAAAATAAAAAATCTAAATTATTTTAATTAAAAAAATAAAAAAAAAATCGATTATATTTATTATTGATTATTTAATTTAGATATATTCATGCACATATGTACATGGACATGATAAATAATTTCTCACATAAAAAATATAATGTGAACAAGAAACATTGTTACTGTATTATGTAAGACTCCCATGAAAAGCAAACAAAACTTTGTAACTTTTCAATGTGTTCAAATTTTGCGGATTCTTTTTTTTGGTCGGTTTTTTTTTTTGTTGTTGTTGCAGAGTCTTTGATGAATCAAAGGCTCTTCTATATTAAGAGAAACTCCTGAGCGTTAGATACAAGAGAGCTACAAGAAAGCGAAAGAGAGAAGCAGAAAAGGAAAGAGAAAGATCTTTTTTTTTTTTTCTTTCTTTATTAACATTAACTCAAAGCTCTGCTCTTCTCTGCTCTTTTTCTCACCAGTTAAAATAAGGAACAATTTTATTATATTTTTTAATTATAAGGAACAATATTTTTGTTGTCTACCAGCATAAAAAGTCAGGTTTGTTTCTTGAAATAGTTTCATTTCGCGTTTTTCTAATGTTTTCTTCATGTTTTCGGTTTATATTCATTGAGATTTTGTGATTTTTTTTCCAATTTATATTAAGATTTTACTTCCATTAATAACTCTATGATTCTAGATTTGGGTTTTATCTTTTCTGATTTTCTGTTTTTGGGTTTTTATTGAATGGTAGTTATGAATATTTTACCACGCGTGGATTTACAGATTTGATGATCAAAGAAAATTTTAATTTAGATTTGTTCTTTTATCCAACATAAAAGTTGGAAATAATCACGACTTTTCTTCAGAAATCAGATACCTTAAAGAGAGTAGTAGCTTACTGACAATGTATGTTTAACTAATTGTTCGATTTTCTTAATGATGCTTTAACTAATTGTTTATTCTTGTCTGGTTCCTTTTCTAGTCTTGTTGTCCATTTTTCCTTGTGCATCATTTCTTTTTCTTTTTGTATGTCTTGCACTTTGTATACTCTTTTCTCTCTCTTTGGTAATCTGTTGTTATTTTATTGCTTGTCTATATTTGATTCAGTGACTGAAGCAAGTTTCAATCACTTTGTGTTCTGGAAATTAGCACAACAGGCTATTATACCATAAAATACTTTGTTATGATATTATAAACTAATATCAATGTTGGTTGTTCATTTAGCAGCTGTACAAGGTATATTTTGGAGTATATATTAAAGGAAAGGTCTTGATCTGAAGATTGAAGGTACTTGTTTGGTACCATTTGTAACTGACTCAAGATATAATGTTTTTTTTTTCTATGTTTTGAGTTGTTGATGAGCAAAAATTTTGCTGTGAAGATTCTTTATTGGATCCTATGATAAGGTATCGCAATGGTGTCGATGAACATGGAGAAGAAATGGGTGTTTCCGCTTGTGATAACTTCTCTCATATGCACGTTCCTTCTTGTCACTTCCTTCAATATGGGGGTTGTTACTTCAGTTTACAAAATCAATTCAGTCTTCTCCATTTTGCCGGCTCATACTTCGATGAACCAAAGAAAGCCGGGCTATGCTGAATCGAAGATTGACCTAGGTACCCCACCACCTCCTCCTGGTCCAACAGTACCTCGTTTTGCTTATTTGGTTTCTGGATCAAAAGGTGATCTGGAAAAGCTTTGGAGAACTCTTCATGCCCTGTATCATCCACGGAATCAATATGTGGTCCATTTGGACCTTGAGGCACCTGCAGAGGAAAGATTGACACTTGCTTCCAGAATAAAAAACCATACAATTTTCTCCAAAGTTGGGAATGTTTATATGATCACCAAGGCTAATATGGTTACTTATAGAGGACCCACCATGGTTGCTAGTACTCTTCATGCTTGTGCCATTCTTCTCAAGAGAAGTAAAGATTGGGATTGGTTTATCAATCTCAGTGCATCAGATTATCCTCTTGTGACTCAAGATGGTTAGTCTCTATCACATGCCTTATTTGTTCTCTGCTTTTCTGGGCTGGTTGATCTTGTTTTGCGTATTCAGTTATTCGATTCTGCACGAGTAGTCATTGATCAATTAGATTGTAATTTGCAGATCTTCTTTATGCATTTTCGGCTTTAAACCGGAACCTTAATTTTATTGAGCACACAAGTCAGCTTGGCTGGAAAGCGTAAGTTCTCTCCCTGATTCCCTTTCTATCTAAAATCTTTATATATGTCAAATGCCAACATATTTCGCCTGTTCTTGTGCAGGGACAAAAGAGCGATGCCTTTGATTATAGATCCTGGACTCTACATGTCAACCAAGTCTGATGTATTTTGGGCCACACCAAGAAGAACATTACCTACTGCATTTAAATTATTTACTGGTTAGTACTCTGTCACACGCCTGATTTTTTTTTTTATTTTAATTTCTTTGTTCAGTGATTCAAACTTTTAGCTGTCCTTGATTCTTTACAATTAAGAATACGAGGACTGCAATGTTTAAAAGTACTTGAGCAGTTATTCATAGTACTGAAATTTCATAAGAATTATTTCTGGGGATCAGTTCCATCTTGGTGGTCTCAATAGGTAAACCACATCTTCGGCTTTATCTTCTTATAGGTAGATGACATTATTGTTTCTGATCTCAATATAATTTTTTCCATCTAAAAGTGTATTTTCTAAAGCTATATGGTGTGTTTGAGTTAACTTTTTATAAATTAGGCTTATAGGCAAGCTCTGTTAAAACATTTGAAAACATATATGCATTGTTTTAGTGATTTTGCTGGATGGATCCTTGATCTTAAAGCAATGCCTCGGCTTTGTTCTTCACTTTAAGTTCGAACCACACATTACGCTCCTACATAATAGCATATATTGCAGCCCTACTCATATGTTAGAAATAGAAATGGTAAATTTGTCTTGTTATGCAAAATTGGTGGTTAACGGTTTCAGAACAACCTCTTTGATTGCAGGTTCAGCATGGACAGTTTTGTCACATTCATTTGTAGAGTTCTGTGTCTGGGGTTGGGATAATCTACCAAGAACTATTCTCATGTACTACACAAACTTTCTCTCCTCACCTGAAGGCTACTTTCAGACTGTCATATGCAATGTTCCAGAGTTCGCTAAGACCGTCGTAAATCATGATATGCATTATATTTCATGGGACACTCCCCCTAAACAGCACCCGCACGTCCTTACCCTTAATGACACGGACAATATGGTTAGGAGTAATGCTGCATTTGCTCGGAAATTCAAACAAGATGATCCTGTCTTGGATAAGATTGATAAGGATTTGCTTGGCCGGTCAAGGGGGAGCTTCACCCCAGGTGCTTGGTGCTCTGGCAAACCAAAATGTTCGAAAGTTGGAGACTTGAACAAGATCAAGCCAGGTCCAGGAGCTCAAAGGCTTCTCCAACTCATAACTAGGTTAGCCATGAAAGCTAATCTTGGTCAAGGTCAGTGTAAATAGGTTTCATGATTGGGAAAGTTCAATCATTGAGGCAGCACAGCTGGGAAAATTGTATCTAATAGAAGAATTTTAATAACGGGCATTGCTCATCTGGCCAAATAACTTAAGGTTAATCTTAGTTTTGCTGCAACCAATAGGAATTCAAGATTATAGCCTTGCTCAGGATCAAAAATGGTACTCCATGGTCGATGCCGCACTTTTTTGGTACTCTAAAAAAAAATGGCTTTATGCTTCCATCTTTTGGAATTGTTATTCAATATTTCTCTACCACAGAACAATACTTTTTCAAGACATTGATGTTCACAAACTTGGTGACCCTTGATGTTGAAGTTCTGGTTATGAAAGATCCCAAGCCATGTAAGCATTCACTCAGGTGCATCTCATTTGGTTTCCACTACTCTTGCCGAATAACTCTAAAAAGAAATATCCAACTGTGATGCTTCAGAAAATTAATATACTTACTCAAAAAAATGGCTATGAATTATAAGCATTAGGAAATATACAAGAGGGCTGCTTTTTACCCTTTTTTCTCCTTTAAATTTTATCTACATATATTTGATCAAGTCATTCTCACTCTAAATGTTAAATTGCATCCGCTACAACCTACTGCCAAAATTTTTTTGCTTAAATGCTGTAACCCTTTAATCTTCTCCAATGTAAGACACCTATCCTTGTTTGTTGTTCTGTGCCTGCATGGTGCACTGATTTGCCTGTGTCCTTTTTGCTTAGATCATGGATGATTTCAAAGAGGAAGAGGCCAAACTAAACCATCTCCAAAATTTTGATATTCCCGGTAGAATTTGCGGCAACAAGGGTAGAGGACTGGCCACGCCAACAAACGGAAGAGATAAACTGCGCAGCATCATCCATTTCATTACCAGAAACTGGATCCATGTTGTTGAACTTGAATGTCAAGGCTGGCATCGGGAACGCCTTATGATATATGAATACCTATACAATAGAATTTCTAGTGAGTGCTGAATGCATAAATCTGTATAATATCATGTTCAAAAGGCATGATGGAATGGATGCCTCAACAGAGCAAAAGCAAAACATACTACAGACTGACATTTTGAAATGAAATTGAAGCTGCTGTCTATTACACGTTCGTTACTTATAAACCACAGGTTTCACCAAAAACCAGGAGTTGGTATTGTAGAGTCTTCATATAAGATTCGTAAAAGCTCTGACAACTACGGCAAATCTCTGTGATCAGTACTAACTGCAGAACACTGCAACTAAATCTATCTACTTTTCTCATCATCTAACTTTTCATAATGTAGGATGCATACATAATAAATGTGATAGGCATTTGCTGTTCAAATATGTAGGGTAAGAATAAAATTGCAACATTAAAGGAAATTTTCTCTTCTGCAACACCATCAATGGACTTTGCTAATCTCTCAAAATAACTTTGATACCTAATGATTTTGGTAATTATTTTAGATTGATGTTCTTTAATGCAATAGGCAAGATCATGGCATGATCTTCAAGCAGATTGATTACAAGAGGCTTCTTTCTGAAAATTTCCCTAAGGACGGCCTTGACTTTTTATGCAACTTCAGTGAATGGTACCAAGTGGAAGGATGACAGCTTTTCCAAAGATAATTTTTTGAACAAGAACTACGAATATGATTTCATCATGGCACTAGAGTGTGGATGCAATGGGAAGGCCAACAAAATTGCATCAATGCATTTTTCTCTGACTATATAACGAAAGAATATATGGAGTACCTCATTAGTTTCTGAACCAGTTGCAATGTAACCATCAGATACTGACAAGCCCACAAAGTTCTACAACAAGGAGAATATGAAGTACATCAACAAGACGGAATAATTTTCCATGAGCAAATTATGTTTAACTAGTCATTGTTTATGAGGATGGAAACAAACTCAATCAGACCACATAAATTGTCACAAAAATTCATTTCATTGCAACATATAAAGCTACTGAAAAGAAGCTTTTGCAAGAAAGTATATGACTTTGAGGCAGCTTTTTTGTTAAGATCGCAAACTAGCAAAGTGGTTCCTTTTAGCACATGACAATGGATACTTTTAGGTAAAAGTATTATTATTATTATTATTATTATTATTATTAAAGAAATAAAATGTAGAGATCAGTATCCAACCTGTGAGATATTGTTCATTTTAACCCAAAGGTTTTACAGTTTTGTCTAAATCTGGTAATCTAAAAAACACGACACGAATACGATATGAAAATAAAATATGAAGGTGACACAGCTTAAAATTTTAGCAATAACTATGTGGATTTAACAAAATCAAAAATATATAGTTCATGTTTTCGTATCAATGTGAATCAAAGAAATGTATTTTATGTTTTCGTATCAACATAAATTATGTCAGGAAATTTTTGTATGAAACATTATACGAATACACAAATTTCAATATTTTACACCACACAAATACACAAATCGCCAAGTCTAGTTTTGTCTTACAAAAGACACCTCACAAACTTGGATTCAAGTCTCAACTTATTTATTATAGTAGACTTTTAGAACATCTTGATGTTGGATTGAGGTGTCATTGTTAAAGTTAAATGTTATTGTCAAGTCCAACACAAAGCACACAAACTCGACGTCCTCGTCAAGCTCAGCACAAAGTACACAAACTCTCCTATTAAAGCTTGACAGACATCCTCGTCAAGCTTTTAGCACAAAGCACACACAAAACCAAGATCACACCAGACGTTGATATTATTAAGTTAGCTCCCATCATGTAGCACTTACCTCTCAAGATTTTAAGAGTGACTCCCACAATGTAACACCTAGCTCTCGTCTAACTGAAGACCGTTTGATACCATTTGTAGAGACTCACACCAAACCTATGAGATATTATCTATTTTGATCCGAAGTCTCATAGTTGTCCCATAAAACGAACCTCACAAGTACATCCCAATGTGGGATTGGGGTATCACAAACTTCCTTATTAAAGCTTGACATCCTCGTAAAGCCCATACAAAGTACACTAAACCACAGTACCAGAATCACACTAGGTGTTGGAATTTTAAAGGTGACTCACGATGTAGCACTTAGCTCCCGTTCGACAGGTGATTACTCTGATACCCCATTTGTGGAGACCTGCATTCAACCTATGTGTTCGACTAATCACTGCCTAATACCATTTGTAAATACCCACACTTAACCTGCAAGATATTATTCGTTTTGACCTGAAGATCTTATGATTTTGTCCCATAAAAAACGTTTCACAAGTATCAATATATATATATCATAACAGATTCTCAAAATATCCCGATATGGGATTGGAGTGTCACATAAAATGAACATTGGTATTAATTTGGTTCATATTTTAGTCTTAACATTATTAAGACAGTTTCCAAAGTCAATAAAAAATGTTCAAAAATAGACAAATAGTCTTTATTTATATTCTATCTTTAAGATTTATAAACACCAAGAAAGTTACTAAAAGAAAAGAAAATAAAATAAAGACCTTTGTAAAAAGGTTTTTTGTTAAGGTGAGGAAGCATTATAACCAAGTAAAAAGAATCTGTCGAAAGATGATGGAAAGAAAGACTAGAGCACACCTTAAAATACTGAGTACACTAAACCACAGAACTAGAATCACATCAGGGGTTGGAATTTTACAGGTGACTCTTACAATGTAACACTTAGCTCTCGTTTGATAGGTGATTACTTTGATACCATTTGTGGAGATTCGCACCCAACATGCGTGTTCGACTAGTAACAGCTCTAATACCATTTGTAAAGACCCACACCTAACCTGCAAAATATTATTCGCTTTGACCTGAAAGTCTTACGGTTTTGTCCCATAAAAAGCGTCTCACAAGTATTTCTACTAATATATCATAGTAGATTCTCAGAATATCTTGATGTAAGATTAAGGTGTCACATAAAATGAACGTTGGTGTTAATTAGGCTCATATTTTGGTCTTAACACTATTAAGACAGTTTCCAAAGTCAGTAAAAAATGTTCAAAAATAGACAAATAATCTTTATTTATATTCTATCTTTAAGATTTATAAACCCCAAGAAAGTTACTAAAGAAAATAAAATAAAAGCCTCTGTAAACGAGTTTTTTGTTAAGGTGAGGAAGCGTTATAATCGAGTAGAAAGAATCTGTTGAAAAATGATGGAGAGGAAGACTAGAGCACACCCTGAAATATTGAGTACAACGATAAGTGGTGGTAGATGGTTAAGCAACGCTAAGCAAAAAAGAGATAAGGCTAAGAAAGGGATTTGGAAAGAGAGAATTGCAAAGAGAATTTGGCCAAGGTCTCCAAAAAGTCCCTCAATGAATTGTGGAAACTCCTAATTATAGGTTCTAAGAATAGGAGTTACATATCTTGAGTATTGAATAGAAATAATACTGGAATTGACAGTTACAAAAGGTGTTAATGCATTGTCTAATGGTAATTAATTAGCTATTGGTGATAGGTATGTTCACTATTTATTATAAAAGAAAGGGGAAATACCCATACTTTAGAGAAAGGTTAAAAGGAGACCTTTTAATATCTACATATTTGATCCACCAAGCCAAATTCTCCAAAACATCTCAATATTGAAGTCAACCCAAGAACCTTGACATATTCCTAGGTTATTTTTACATTTTTTGGTGAAGTAACATTCGATAAAACATCTTTTATGGAATAACTCTTACTGAAACAACTTTTGATAAAAGTGTTAGTGTTTTTTCTTGAGGAAAATAGTTATTTTGTGAAGAGCTTTTCCATGAATAAGATGTTCCATGAAAAGCTGTTTCGTGTACAGCCTTAAATGAAAATAAGATATATAAGATATATTTATTCTCATAATTAATAGATGAATGATGTAAGTTTCATGAAAAAATTATATACATATACATATTTTCTGCACATGAGCGAGTTCATTGCTACCTGCATGGAATTTCTTTGACAAAAATCAAAGAGTGTCCCATATGTAAAATAAGCAAATTTTAATGTTATATATCAAAGAATTCTTACGTGATAACTAATGCATGAAAGTGTAAGCCATAACATTAGTATTTCTCTAAAAAATAGAAGAATTGTTAAATGAAACAAGTAATGAAAGTATTGCCATAAAATAGGAGAACAAGTAATAGGAGTATTTTTCTAAAAAATAAAAGAAAAACTAA